CCAAGCAGACCCTGGTGACAGATGCTGAACCAACTGCTGGCACATGGGACCAGCGTGGCCGTGGCTGTGCACTGGGAACTCCCCAGGCAGGTATTGCCTGGGGAAAACGCTGATTCCTTCCTATCAGTACAAAAAAAAAAAATGACAAATGTCAGAGCACAGGACTCTGCTTTCTCGAAGAATATCATGTGCACCAGAACTTTATTGATAAACTCCTAATAAAAAATACAGAAATTACAATACAACGAAGCTCAAATAGCAGTTAGTGCCGTTCTTAAAAAGAGACATTGGCGTCTGTGAATGCCAATGTCTGGACTGCTTGCTTTAAATCCTGGCTTACTAGTTTTGTGACCTTGAGCAAGGTACTCAACTTCTTTTTGCTTCAATTTCCTTATCCATTCTTTCAAAAATCATACATAAATTAATATGTGTGAAGTATTTTGAATGGTGTTTGGCAAGTAATTAACACCATCTAATGTTAGCTATTGTTATTATCAGGTATTTTTATCATTAAGAGAAAATAACATTTTAAAAAAGAACCAAGCGTTAATCATAAGAGCAGTCCATAACTACGAAGGTCATCCCACTCTTTTCTGGACAATCTTCATTCCAAGTATTTTTAGGTCCATTATCACCATAAGTTTACCTTTCACGCATTTCTCTTCTTCACTTGAGACATACTCTCCATACATAAAGATCCCATTTCTCATATTTAGATACAAAATAGGTTTGCTATCTACATTTGACACCAAAGAAGAAAACTATATTCATTGCTTTTAAAGCCTTAAAAAAAGGAGAAAATTATATTCATGTGACATGATTTCAACTAAGTACTTTAAAAAGCACCTGAGAGCTGAAGAGTTAGGCCCTTCAAGAGACTTGTTTTAACTGTAACTCCCTACAAAGAAGATTAGTCAGCGAGGAGCCTGGTGCCCCAGAGAGCGTTCGAGAGGCTTGAAGTAGTGGCTCCACTTTCCATCCCTGACTGTGAACCTCAAAAGCTCCAGCAGAACATAGTCACTGTGAAGAATTCCTTTAACCCAAGGACAGAAGTTGTCCCAGAAATGGTCAATATTTGTTTTATTAACCTTTTCAATTTTTAATTAGGTTTCTCAGTGCTCCGGATGTAACGGTTATCTGCCCCATCCACAGCGCCAGGCCGGGAACCCCCGACAGGTCAGCCAGGGTTCCAACTGCTCACCCTCCTCCACCTCTCCTTAGCAAAATGTCTTCTTCCATGGCACTGAGCCAATTCATGCATCTGAGTTATTTAGTGACATATCTGCAGAGAACATGCTTTGGTATCTCATTGTTAGCACAGAGTCACCTAATTACAGATGCATGGGCCGAGAGTGGGAGTTTTTCATTAGATCCCAGGAATATAAAAAAAACTACATAAAAACAACCCTCAAATATCCTTTTCTTGAAAAATCCTTTCTCTATATCATTCATGCTTAAAGAGAAGACTATCTTTCAATATATTAACAAGCTTTTAAGTGTTCTACCTGCTAACTGAAAACAAAGCCCTCATTGCTGCTAGCAAGAACCCATCGTGGGCAGACAATACCTTTTGATGGTCCTCTTTCTTCAGAATGAAGTAAATTTTTCAATAATTAATAATTTATATATTGGTTATATAAGATGTAAAAAAAAATCCCATGGAATATGGAAAAAACTAATTTTGACTTTTTAAGGGGCAGCTCAGTTACTATAAAAGAGCAAGTAACTGTCTGCAATGAAAAACAGTTGTCATTCTCTTTGGCACACACTTTGTGCTACAGCATCACCACTGAAAACCACGGAAGAGGAGAGGGGCACAACCAGCAGGTGGGCTGTGGCACAGGTTGTTATTCTTAGCGCTTGACTGAAGTCCCTGAATGGCGGGTGGAGTGAGTTGAGCTTGCACGCACGCTTCAAGTTGAAGCTCCATGCCTGCAATGAGGCGCTACCATTTGTCCTTGCTAGACAATCTTAGAGCCAGGACGAATGTGAAAAATCATGTAAGCCAGCTCCTTATTTTAAACACGAGGATTCTGAGGCCAGGTCAAAGAGCTTACAACAGATGCTGTACACATGGTAAGGTATGGACAGAGAGATGAAAAGACGAACGGACAGGCAGATGGAGGACAAGAGGACAGGATTAGATACCGGGAACTCCTCATCCTGTTTCTGGCTTCTTCACCAACTCTTTCTTTTAAACCTAGAAAAATCATTTCATTTCCCTCTGCTGCTTTTCCTTATCTATGTGGTGATTATCCTGAAAGCTCTCTCAGGCCCCTCCCAGCTCTCACAGTCTTTGATTTGATGAAACAAGAGGACTTTTCAAAACGATTCAACTTGGCAATTCCAGGGCCATTTTGCCATAATTGCCCGGAATTTGCAGCACCACGATGGGAGGTCTTATTCATCCAGAGATTTGAGACCACTTGGCCCTGCACTACATGCAGTTTCCTCCCTTCACACTGCAGTGGAAAGTAGCTGTGAGCAGAGTTCCACCAGAAACAAGTTCCCACCTTGAGTCAAGATGTTCAAATAACAAGAAGAAAACAGCATACTAAAATTAGCCGTGATGGCCCACCCTTGCTTCAAGGGTGAATAGAAAAGTCAACATCACTCAAGTCGCCCTGGAGTCTGTACGCATTTGCCTTTTTTCTAGAAGTCCCTTGTTAAATGTGAGACTACCTACCTGGGGCTATAAAATCATACTTATTCTACCCATTTGATTTTTCCCTAGACCCCCAATTCTATTTGGCAGGAAAGACGGCGTAAAAATGGGCGGCTCTTGGAAGCAAAATCTCTTATGTCGGCTCAAAGGGCCCTTCCCCATAACGACTGTTTTCTTAAGTTATAAAACAGCAGGGGCAGAGAAAACTGTATACACAGGCAGGCCATTACAATCACGGCGACGTATTTTTCCCCTGTGACTGCCAATTCTTAAAAGTCAGAGCAGCCACCGCTTACTTTCTGAAGCCCAACCACCTTGGTATTTCTTTGAATGCTACAGGAAATGCTGGCAGTGAGGCAAAACCCAGCCTTTTTTATGCATGAGAGAATAACAGAAGTAGAAGGTATACCGGGGAGGTCACCTGGCTTGAGCTTCTTCCTCAGGCAGATCAGCATTTGAACTAAGAGAGGGCTGTTGCTGCAATTTCTAAACATGGAGCTTCTACAGCCTCCTGAATGAGCCCGTCTCTAAGTTTAGTTACCCTCAAAGTCGACTTCCTTGCACCTAAAAACTGCCTTCCTTCCAGCCCTGCGCCTTGCTATAATTTAAGCCTACTTCCTCTTTGGTCCTCTGTGGAGAGCAAAGGCATGTTGGTGTTTACGTCCTGTATAATGCCAGGTCACTATTCGTCTCTGGCTTGCCATTCTGGCTCTGGAAGCCTAGGAGGTGCTCGCGGTCATTCCCTAGAACCCTGTGCTCCTGTGCCTGTGGCCTGATTTTCACATATAAAGAAGAATTGGGTGAGGTTTGGGTGAGGTTACCAAGGCCCAGAGTTGCCCGAGTCTGGGCACGGCCAGAAAGTCTTGCTGGGCTTAAAGAGAAAAAGCCGAGAGGGTCCTCTGGGGAAACTGAGGTCTGAAGGGGAGGGAGTGACCAGGCACAGCAAATGGAAGCAAGGGGACCCAGACAAGGAACACCAAGTCCTAGGGGGCTGTCCCTGGTGGGCACGGTGGTTCTCTGCTGGGCTCCACCCACTCAGGGGCACTGGGAAAGTGTAAGCAGCACAGGGAATGGTGCTAGCAGGTGTTTGAGATGCCATGAGGTTGTGGCCAGGACCACAGGAAAGTCTGCTACAAGCTGCAGTGATCACAGGGTGGCCGGGAGAGAGCTGCCTTAGAGCCCGCATTGAACCACCACGCTGAGGTCGTCTGGAACAGTAGCCAGAGACGCAGACAGGAATGCACTATCCGGGATCACTAAGATTTCCTGACCTCGTTCTCTGCACCAGGCACAAAGCCTCATTTCATTTGATCTTATAAAGAAGCTCTCATTATTATCTCCATTTTACAGAAGAGGAAACTGAGGTTCAGAGAGGCTCTGTAACTCAGTGAAGGCTTAAGAACTCCACTTGCTTGCCCCTGAAGCCCAAATTCTTAACCATTCCACTTTATGACCTGACCTCCCTTCATCTCAGCTTTTGGGGACAGTAGAAAACCCTGTTTTTCAATATCCCTCAGTCCAAGAGGAGAGAAAATTAATTTTCCACCAGGGACCTGATACGGTTTGGAGGCATTAGGATGCTGGGCGGGGGCTCTGGTCGGCTCCACAGACCTGGAACGGCAGCCCAGCCTCAGATCCTGGGGAAGGGTGTGGTTCTGGAAAAGACTATTACTCTTGTGTTTACTCAAAGATAGTCATTAAGTCACTGTGAAGACATCTTTTCTGCAGACTAAACAACCCCATTCCTTTTTTTAAAAGCTTTCCTCACAGGAGCTATTTTTTGGTACCACTTTCTATATTTACTGGTTTTCCCCAAGCATTCTTTTACCCTCCCACTCCCTACCTTAAACAGTCCTGTCATAAGATTTTGATCTCTACCACAGAAAGCAAAGGGTCATTTTCATCGTTTTCATCTCCAGCCTTAATGAATTAATCAAAGACCAACAGGGATGCTAATCAGACCTTTGTGGTCCACTCTGACCCTCGGCTGTCCCTGTGCTTGGCCAATCTTCCATTTACTGTTTTTTTTTCTGATCCTCTTGAACTTCACTATGTATTTGAGGGAGTAGTTCGTAGTGTCATGCAGCCCTGAAATGGTTCTAACATGCATTTGAGTCGGCCTAATTTCCTTTTGCCCTCTAAGAGGATGCTTCAAAAAGAGTCCAATGCTCAGAAATAACCTTTGAGGAGTAAGAGTGTTGACAATGAACTTATTTTTGCCCTTTTTTTGGCCCAACATTCCCCTGAGAGAGAGGTTAAGCTCCAGGATTCTGAGACACGGTCCCTGAGTGTCCCAGCCCCGAGGGTGTTCCATCCTCGACGGGGCCCCACTTACTTCGAGGTTCTCGGGGTCCATCCACCGTGATTTTGATGGCTCTGTGGTAGGTGGCGACTTGTGGCGGGTTCGTGAACACGGTGATGGTCAGAGTGAAGCTTTTCCCTGTTGAGACACAAAAGAGAACAAAAAAGACTGAAGTAAGATGGCCTAAATATAGCCGCAGGGTAACCGATCATTCATTTAAGCTTTCCAGCCCTGAACTGGAAAGATGACAGTACTTCTGCACAAATTCCCGGTTTTTCCAATGCGCCTTTGAGTTTGGCTTTGCTTAAGTTCTGCACACTTACGGTATTTGTCAAGGTGTAACACTTCACATAGTTATATGGCTTTAATTTAATCATTCATAAATAACACGGGCTCAAGAAAGAGTAGAATTTATTTTCTGTCAGCTGAAGCCTCCGGGGAGCCATCGAGTCAGATTGGCGGCTCTCCACTCCCAGCCCCCCGCCAGCCCCCCAAGTATTTAAAACGCAGCCCGAAGAGGAGTGAAAGAAACTATGTCCATCATTCCCCTCTAGATTTGTACCTCTGAGGATTAGGAAAGATAGAATTTCCAAGTTTGAGGATAGGCTAAATTAGAATTATTCTCTCCGTATTTTTAAAATACTAATTCTGGGTGATTTGAAATACTATTTGAAAATGCCAGATGTTATTAGAGGCACTCCTAGGATTGGCCAGATCATAATTTATGGTCAATAAATGGATGTAAGGATACAGAACTGACAGACTGAGATTCAGGAAGAACTAGCAATAAAAATATGCACGTAAGTGCCATGTAAACATTTTAAATATCTCACAAAAGGCGAGAGCATCTTCACTGTCTAAGTTTAATAATTTAAAAACATTTCTTCTTGGCCAAGAGGTCCAGAGGATGGACTCCGGGTTTGAACTCTGTCTGGCTGACCTCTGGCAAGTCGCCGGACCTCTCTGTGCCTCAGTGTCCTTACCGGGAAGATGGGCACATGCATCTTTTCCTACCTTGTAGAGTTCTGGGGGAGATTAAATGGGTTGATATGAGTAAAATTGTCAAAACAGTATCTAACACGTGGTATTCAAAGGTGTGTGTGTGTGTGTGGTGTGTTGTGTTCGCTTCATTTCTCTTCTCTGTTTCCTGCAGCTCCATAACAGGGGCCGAACGTTTGACTAAGTATATTAATACAGTCATTCTTCAATTATCATGGTTTCTCCTCCGAATCATGTAGCATGAAAGGAAATCAAAAATACACGAAAGGGAAACAAAACATGCCCATCCACTGCCTCATCTGCTCCAAAAGCCATTTACCATTTCAAAACTCAAATGATCTTTCTTCTCCAAGTTAGAAAGAGTAGAATATTTCCAACTGCCATATAGTTTTAATATAAAGGAAGCCCACAGAAAAATGTTCAATGAAAATATAACCTTTGGCCACAGCAAGGCACTATTCCTAATCATGAAAAACCTCCACCAAACAATCCGCAAGAATCTGTATTCCATCTGTTTTAAAGTCTATGATAAAAAGAACAATGGCGAGTGAGGATTGGTCAAGCCTGCTTTGCTCAGTGTGGCCTTATAACCAGAGTCTCGGCTGGCCCGTCTAACAGAAGAGGTGATGCTTTGGGGATGCTTTCTGGACAGTGGTGTTCCAGGAGCAGAGCACCAGGGTGCCAGGGGGCCCTGTACCCAGATCCATCTTCCCCATCAGCTAGTCTTCTCCCTGGAACCTAGAGATGAGACTTAGAGATCTGCCATCTTTGGGACGGCCTTCAGATGTTACCAGGCTACACCCAGAGGGGATCCTGCCATGCATCTGGCTGAAGTAGAGGAACAGGCAGAAGAGGCCCTGGCTGCGTGCAGTGAAAAAGGCACGTGATATGGAGGAAGGTGTCGAGGGCAACTGCCCATGTCACCGCTCAGCCGCTGGCTTTCCTGGGACAGATGGAGGAGCGACGGTAGCTGCGGCCTTGGAGCAGCTGCAACCACCTGCTCCCCTCCTGGCAAACCACTGTCCTACAAGTCAGTCTGTCCCCTCCTTGTCAAGAATCCACAAGGGTTCTTACCTGCACATCGAGACTGAATCCCAGCTTTTAGAGTCTTCTCACTACTAAAACTCTGTCTGGAGTTATTTTTCACTCACTCCCTCTCCTCCACCCGCCTGACTCCCGGCCCACGTCCTCTGAGTTCCCCTGCAAGCCATGGCATCGTGACTCTGGGGTCTTTTCCCGCCAGCACCCAGGCCACCCCTTGCCCGAGTCCTCCTGCCTCCAACGTCCAGGGCCGGGCGGGCGCTCGCTTTTCAGGCAGACTTCCTTGATGACCAGTCGCTTCGTGGCTGTTGGAGCTGCCTCATAAGTCATTCTTTGCCTTTGGTTAATTAGGATGTCAGACTGAATGGGGTTTGTGGCTGTATAGGCCTGATCTCCCCAGGGCCAGGGATCCTGTTCTGTAACCCCCATGTGTCCCTCACAGAAAGGCGGGGAAGGGTGAGAGGGAGAAGGGGCTTCAGGGTAGAACGGGAATTAAAATGCAAAAAAAAAGGAGCTTGAAGACACCAGCGATGGATAAAGACATTGCCCCGGGCCTGATAGGTCTAGGCGTGTGTGTATGAGAGAAAGGGACGGAGAGACAGGTGGTTCTTCCAGCAAGAGAGTTAAAAGTTTGGGGATCTTGCACAAATGATTTTACTTTCCCAGATCTGAGTTTACTGGTCTGCAAAGTGAGGGGCTCATGGGATGCATACAATGCCACTTCAACCCTCTGCGTTTTATCTTCCGAGAATGCAGCCAGCCCTGTGTAAGTGTGTGGCCATGTGGGTGTGTGGGCCCGTGTGTGCTTCCCTTGTTGCCTGCAACTTCAGCATTTCAGAGCTCATAAAAATACTGTACTAGTTTCCTGGGGCTGCGTAATAAATTACCACAAACTGGGTGGCTTAAAACAACAGAAATTTAGTCTTTAGCAGTTCTGGAGGCCAGAAGTCCAAAACAAAGTGTCAGCAGGGCCACACTCCCTCTGAAGGCTCCAGGCAGGATCCGTCCTCACCTCTTCCAGCTTTGGGTGTGTCCCAGCACCCCTGGGCCCTCCCTCGCTCACAGCGACAGCACCCCAACCTCTGCCTCCGTCATCACACGGCTGACTCCTGCTGTGGTCCCTCTGTCTCCAAATGTCCCTCTCCAAGGACATCAGTCATTGGACTTAGGGCCCATCCAAATCCAATCTGACCTTGTCTTAACTTGATTACACCTTTAAAGGCCCTATTTCTAAATAAGGTCATATTCTGAGGTTCTAGATGAATTTTTAGGAAACACCTTTCAACCCAGTACAAATACCAAGTCATAAGTGCTACAAGTGACAACTGCTCTACAGGCACCCGTGTGTTTTACGCTCCTGTTCCTACGGTGGCTCTCCTACAACCATCCTGTTCACGACTTCCTAAAGGACAACAAAGCAGCGTTATAGTCATAATATAGGTGTTTTTAGGTCTGTGTAGAACTTAGGACTTTTTAAATACTTTCCTACATAGTATTGCATTTGGTCCTCACAATAATCTCATGAAATAAGCAAGATAGATTTTATTGTCCTTCATCAATAGGTAGCAAAGGCTCAGAGAGGTTAAGTAATTTTCCCATAGTCACACAGCTCATATATATAACAGAACCCAGACCCCCAAAGTTTATGCTCACTGTTCTTTATGTTATTGTCACTGAGATCATAAATCTCTACCTCCAAACCCAGTGGCACCAGCACCAGGAATCTGGACTCACAGTATTTTATCCGTGCTCTACCACTACCCAAAAAAGTGAAAATTGTCCCAGTGACTCTACTGTACAAGCTGTACTTGACCACCAACTGTAAACCTGGGTAATCGTTCGAAAGCATTTTCTTAGCTGAATTTGGGCTTCCGGCAGTTGAGTGCTTATGATGTCCTCCTGGTTGACGACAGACTAGGCTGCTTAATCAGGAATGAAATTCAACCAAGTGAACACCTGTGAAGTCATCGCCATAGTCATAACTCTTGTTATTTTATACCATCATTTATACCGTCACAAGACGTACGTACCCAGCAAACACTACCAAGTGGGGTGGCTGGCCATGGTCACGTGGTTCACCAAGGAGGAGATGTCGGTGGCCTCCCTCCCAATGGGCTCTTTTGTTTACAGCTTGGTGTAGAAGCACATTTGCTTATTATCTCACAGGCAGAGTGACGACTCTTTCTCACCATGTATGGGACATTCTTCCACTCCATGAAAACCCCGCCCTCTGCTGCCTTTGTATTCCTCCACCAGCCCTGGCACCCTTCTTGACCATGGGCTGTGCTCAGCCAACGGGCACACCTGACGGGACCCGGGGCTCTGCCCTCCACCCGCCCTAGTCTGGCCCAGCCCTGCCGGGACACAGCCCTTCCTGGCCGGCACCTGCAGAAGTGGGATCTGTGCCCCAGGGCACACGTGTTATTAGCCAAATTCCCTCATTAAAATGACCTATGGGCCTGGTATTTTAAGTACGTGGGTGTGGAGAATGAAAGACTCTCAAGTGTTTTTCTCAGCAAGCCGTAGCCAGAGTAGCAAGGAGGAAGATTGGCTAAATAACAACAGCCCCCAAATCGGCTCTTCGGGACAAAATGCAGGGGCGGAAGGGCTGGGCTGCTGTAGGGAGAAGGAACATTCCTGTTCACAGTAGCCTGCCGGGAGGCCCTGCCCAGGAGGGAGGCCCTGGCCCGTGAGGCCAGCAGAGGCTCTGGCCAGCGCACAGATGACCCCAGCGCCGACTTGTGTGTGCTGCTCAAAAGCTGTAGCTCTCGGCTCCAGAGGGGGCACACGGCGGGGTCACGGGTGCCCTGCATGGGAAGGGGCCGAGGAAAGGGAGAAGCACCGAGACCCTCCTTCCGCTCGTGGAAACCAGACCACCGCAGCAGCAGCAGCAGTTCTGAGCAGCGGTTGGGCTCCAGGAGGACCACTGTTTAGAAGCACAAACACTAGGACTGGGAACAACGGTGGGAAGAAACAACAGGGGAGAGGGTTGTCTTGACGTATGCTTAGAAGCAACAAGGGATAAGAACTTCATTATAAAATCCCATGAAGGAGACCTACCTGTGTTCAAAGCCTAGCTCTGCCACTTGCTAGCTGTG